TTGATTCCATATGTATATACCGTATTTTCTGGAACTCTCAGTGACATATGTACCTGGTGCTTTCAGCAGTGTCTTAAAAACAAATGGTTATGGTGCTATTCAAACCTGAGATCTTATTTCTCAGCTCTAGTTTAATTGGAGCTTTCAGTTTCAGGATGAGGTCATTCCCTGTGCCAAAAGATGCAATCAGACTTGGACGCTGAATTATTTAGAGTTCCGTTTAACCGTTTGCATGTGCTCAAGCGGCAATAAACATTGCCTTGCTACCCTGTAGGCAACTGCAGCTGTTATGCAAACGGCAAATAAATGTTCCGCAACCTCCTAGGCTGAGGCGTTCTGAACAAAGGAAGGGTGCACTCCAGAACCATTTCCATAGAATCATAGAGTTGGAAGGGACCCTGAGGTTCATCTGGTCCAGCCCCTTGCATTGCAGGAATACACAGCTGTCCCATATGAGGATCGAACCTGCAACCTTGGTGTTATCAGCACCACCCATCAGTGTGCGTTGCTGTTGCAGACTGGAAGGAGGAGTGGCATGGTGTAGGAGCTATGGCAGAGCCAATCAGATGCTCTTATTGCCTTGCCTGCACCATAGCAAGCTGCTGTTACCTTGCCCCTCTCCTTGGCAAGTGGCCATGGCGTTTGGTGCTGAGAAGGCAAGTCAGCAGCACAGTCTCTCTCCCCTGCCCCCCTTGCTGGCTAATGACTACTCCATTAAGGAAAGAAATCAGGGCATGGAGGTAAGTGGATTCATTGCTGAGCTTGGACCAGGAAGACCTCGGTTCAAATCTCTGCCAAGTTTACTAGCTGGCCTTGAGCAAGTTACAATCTCCCATCCTAATCTACCTCACAGGGTTGTTTTGAAGACACAATTAGACCCTCCACCCCATACCCTGGGCATTTTGCAGGAAGCTATGAAAAAGAAATGCATTGGCCTTGGTCATTTTAATTCCTTTTGGATTTGCCATGGGTGTAGAATGATAGTAGAAAACTGGAGAATTAAATAAAAATCCCTTACACCTCCCCCTCCCCCAATTAACTGGATTTTTCAGGGTCTGGCACAAGCCCCCAAATGGATTCATCACTGCTTAACCAAGTATTCTGATAAACAGGCTTTTTCTCTTTCCCCATTTATAAATGTAAGAGAGACAACATCACACCAAGCGCTAGAGATATACCACCCTCCCACTTCACTCTATTTATATGTTCCTGTCATCAAGCAATTAAAATAATGAATACTTTACAAAACAACAGGTAAGCAGCCTGCATAAAGATAGTATTAGCTTAAAATGTACCTGCCATGCCTCTAAATAAGGCACCAATTAAAACTTCATTCTAGGTTTCTTGAAATGTCTCTCCCCCCCCCCCCCCCGGTCCTGCTTCCTGGCTCATGGAAGGGCTGCAATGCCATTTACTTACGTACTTCTCTGTCTTTATATTTAAACATTTTCAAGCTGATACAACCACCACAACCAAATAGAAACCTTAAAACTTTTTTTAAAAAATAGCTGCAACCATAGAACAAATCAAACAGTAAAAAAAAAAAAGTAGCTTCAACTTTGCTAAACCTTAACTGTCTGGGGGAAATTAAGAAGAAATCTATCTGGTACTTAAAACTCATTAAATTGGGTGTGAGGCAGACAGGCCTGGAGGGGAGTGTTCCAAAGGAAAAGATTCCTTCCCCAGGCACCGTAATGCTCTTTCCCTCTGGTGAGGCTCATAACACGCAGGCAAATTCATGTAGAAGCAGGAGGTTTTTAAGGTACCTGGATCCCAGGTCATGCAGAGTTTTAAAGGTGAAACACAGGTGAAAAGCAACTCCTTCGTCTCAAAACCGCTAATCTTCATGGGAAGTGCCAGCCCACCCAGAACTGTCTGAACACCATCTCCCTAGTCCGATGAAAAGGTAAAAGATAAAGGACCCCTGGACGGTTAAGTCCAGTCAAAGGCAACTATGGGGTTGCTGCGCTCATCTCGCTTTCAGACCGAGGGAGCCGCCGTTTGTCCACAGACAGCTTTCTGGGTCATGTAGCCAGCATGACTAAACCTCTTCTGGCGCACAGAGGACTGTGACAGAAACCAGAGCGCACGGAAACACCATTTACCTTCCCGCCACAGCAGTACCTATTTATCTGCTTGCACTGGCATGCATTCGAACTGCTAGGTAGGCAGGAGCTGGGACAGAGCAATAGGAGCTCACCCCATTGCGAGGATTTGAACCGCCAGCCTTCTGATCTGCAAGCCCAAGAGGCTCAGTGGTTTAGAACCATCTGCCAACTGCACTGCTCTCTTCCCTGCATTGCACTCAAGTTTGTTTCCCTTCAATCCAATCTGTTGTGGACTAGAGGCACATCTACAACTTCAGCTGAAATGGATGTAAAGGAGAACTAAAACTGCCTGTAATCATCAACTTCAGCCTAAAACCCCGCACAACCTCACGTAGAGACTTCATTAAACAGCAAGAGGATGGCTAATTTTTGTGTGGAATGTGTCATTCATGAATGTTGACTGCAGAATATCTGATTCATCAGATCTATATTTATCATATAATAAAGGCTATACATAATTGAAAAGGAAGCATGACTTTTATCCTTGCCACAGATGTTGATTTGTGCATGCATGCGTGTGTGCGTGCGTGCACACAGAGTTTTGATTTGAATTGTAATTCATTTACTCTGTATGGCAGAAATCTGCTTTGACCACAGTGCAAATGATGGTATATTTCACTCAGATGCTGCCATTCATATTTCACAATGGAATGTGAACATGAGCAATCATTCTGAATCATAAATTTGTTCTAAATCTAAACAATTTGAATACACATTTGCTGCATTCTGAGCCATTAATTGCTTGTTATTCATTGTTTGCAAGCTGCTTTGGGATTTAGTTGAATGGGAATCAACATAGAAAATCAATCTCTCTATCAGTCAATCAATCAATCAATCAATCAGTTATTTTAAAGGCAGAAAATGCTTGTTCAAACCAAATCTTACCATGCTTAGAATGCATAGATTTCATCCATCCACAGAATGTGTATTTATTTTCACTCTAATATTCTGGATATATCCCCCCCCCAATTTGGGGGGAAAGTTTGGGAAGGATTCCAACTGTGAATAAAATGTCAATAAAACTTCAAAATCTGAAATATTAGTGTTTTGAAACTTGAAATGTAAAATTTAAAATATGGAGAAGTCAGTAACATTTCAATGGATGCAATATTGATTTATCTGTGGAGGATGTGACAGGAATGAAGCTATGGCTTGCTGTTCCATGCTCTGAAACCTCAGGTGAGATCCAGAGCTTCCTAAAGCCCTTGGGGACATCTATAGGGGTTGATGGATGCTGCTTACTTACACCAGGCAACTCAAATGTTTACTATGCTAGGATAGTTAATAAATATTACTGCTGTTTTGTCACCAACGCAGTGGTGCGCCTCTTTCTGTATTCTTGTCTTGTGGAAAACTTCAGGAAGCAGTAATGAGTGTTAAAAACGGCAGTGGGAGCTGAACTTCTCTTACTGACCTGAACAAACAAGCTACAGTATTTGGGTGGGTCCCCCCCCCCGCAACATCTTCTGTGCTGTTCATGATTGAAGCATATCGAACTTGGGTGTGGCGATGCAGTGTCCTTGCAGCAGCGCCCCGCGAGGAGGGCTGGCTGTGAATGGCAGGGGTCAGTGGTGATTCAGCCAGCATAGCACAGCAAGAATGCCTCCTCTTAATTTGCTTCTTCCTCCCTTCCTCTGGTGACTCAGTGAGGGACAGTGCTTACAGCCAGAGAGGAGTTCCTCGGATTAATCACACAGCTCCCTTTTCAGAGTGGCTCCTTGGCAACCCGGCAGCTTGCTGGAAGATTGGCAGCTCTGCATTCCCATTCTGTTTGGTGTTTAAGGTTCCACGCACTCACCCAGTGTGAGCTTCCTTGGAAAACTCATTCAGGAAATCATAAATTAAAACAACACCTGACTGTCGTGCGCATTCACTGTGTATTGCATCGTAGGTTAATTTGGTCTGTGTGCATACTTTGCATTGAGGTTTGCGTACAGGACTGTACAAATACGAGGCTGTATTGAGATTGCCGACATTCCAGGTGCCAGCTACATTGCATATGAGAACGGAGAGAGGAAACTGGCTCCTGTGGCGTCAAAAATACCTCCTGCATCTCCCTAGCAACTTTTGAAAAACACCACTCACTGTATTTGCATAGAGCTTGGGAAAGAGAAATGCCAACCAGGGGAGTTTTTAGGTGGGGGTCACCTTACGTTGCCCATAACTCATCATCATTTCACAGAATGGGCAGAACTCAAAGTTGAAAGCAGTGCCAGGCCTAGACAGTGCCTGAAGCACATCCCAAATGATATCTCCCTCCCTGCTAGGACCAACACTTTAGTACTGATGCACTGTTCAGACAACAGGTCCTGCCACCATCTCCTCCCTGCCCCTATCACAGTGCTGCTTGTGGTTGCATTTCTGAACTTGCCATGACTGAAAGTGTGCTGTACCAGAGTTGGCTTTTTGATGGCTTTTTGATGGCTTGAATTGGGCTTCTTTCTTTCTTTCTTTCTTTCTTTCTTTCTTTCTTTCTTTCTTTCTTTCTTGTAAGAAAGTAAGCACTTGCCATTAACAGGAATATTCTTATTTGTGTATCCCATAGAAGGCAGGCCAGTTTTCCATTTGACAGAAGAACATAATTTTCCCACTCACTGTGTGTTGTGGTGATAACTGTCGTGTGTGTGTGATAACTTATATTATTACTTTACCAAAATACAAGCAATATTTATAAAATAGACAGACAACAGGGAAGGGGGGGGATCCCCAGTAAAGAGGATATAAAGGCATTGGGTAACTTTACACAGAGACATTAATTGTCAGTAGTATCTTTTTAGCTTCTAATGCACTGAACTGGGAGACCGCAAACAGAGATGATGTGTTTATCTGGTACTCTGTTGCAGTTTAACCCCTGCCATTCTAACTGTTCATCTCTTTCTCTCAATTTTACAGGAGGTCCAGAAGATAACCAGCAATGGGGAGACCCAGGCAGATGGGGACTTGAAACCCACAGACGAGAAAGAAGAAGTTGTGGCAGCAGCAGAAGTGGGCTGGATGACCTCTGTTAAAGACTGGGCAGGGGTGATGATTTCAGCCCAGACATTAACTGGCAGAGTCCTTGTGAGTTTCCCTATGCTTTCTTCAGATTTTCCATCTACTTTTTTCAGAGGGCTAGCCAATACCCCCTATTTAACAATATGGTAATTTTCACATGAACAACACTTTCTCTCTTTGGTGTCTGCTTGCTGATACATGCAGAAAATGGCCTCATGAGGACAGGCAACCAGGCTATTCCTTGATATTTAAAGTAATTAGGTGAAAAGGTTGGCCATGTGCATCCACTCTAGCTCTTGGTTCCTAGACCTATGTATTTGAGAGTTAGTTCAAATAAGAGAAATGAGATGCATCTTCCAAGTAAATATTGTTTGTATCAGGGTGCCATATTATGTGACAAACTGTCTTCAGAAAACCCTTTCCTTTCCACAGGATCCTGGTAGACTAATTTTTGCACAGGAAGTTAAAGGAGGACAGGTTTGTTCCTGTTGAAGGGAAATGTATTGTTTCTGACACCTAAGGTTATGAAAATTAACTACTAATGTCGGGGAGGTTCTGATACTCAATATAGGCATCGTTTTTGTCATAATTTTGCACCCACTTCCAGGCACAGCAAGTCTTCCCCATAATGGTGCATTTGTGCCACAAAAGCTCCAAAAGTTTCTTGTATTCAGTACTCTAGATAACTGTTATCCCTGTAGAGTTGTTAAATGGTGGGCAATATCCAACATTAATCATACTTACAGTAGACCCACTGAAATAATAAACCTCATTACTTAAGTCTATTGATTTCAGTTGGTCTAAGTAAGACTTGGTTCGATGGAACCTTGTGAATGGAAAGAGGGCTAGTTCTATTAGGAAATTAAAAATGTGGAACATTTTTGCCTCCCTTGAGTTTGGTTCTGAGCTCTTCGCCTCCAGGGGAAAGATTTCCCTTATTTGGGTGTAAGTAATTTGGATCCAGGCCCTGTGGGAACAAGGCTCGTTTGTTATGCAAAATGAATTTAGGTAGGCTGCCTGCTAGAACACACTGCAGCCAACAGGCTAATTTGGGTTAATTGCCTAGATTTAATTGAGATTTAGAGCTAGTATTGTTAGATTTGAGTCCGAAGTGCTTATATTATGGAAGTATCATTACTGTGGACTTTTAACAGGTTTTATCATTAAGTTTCATACAGCCACACCATTAATTTATTATTATTTTTAAAGAATTGTTTGCAAGTGTTATGGAGCCATTTTGAACCATGTATAGAACAGTGTGTTCTGTACATAGAAGGAATCCAGTTGGCTCTATATTGATATAAGCTTAAACACCATGCAGGTAACATGGTTTTATCTTTAAAATTTTATATATCAGGAACAGACAAAGGATGTAATATGTTTATTGGTCTCTATACACGTTGCCAGATTGTAAATTTAGTTTGGATAAATTAAAAGTAATGGGATTTTTTTTTTTAAATAATTTTTATTAATTTTCCAAACATATAATAAACACAAACATCAAAACAAAACAAAACATACACACAAATAAACATGTATAAAACTCATTTTCCTTCACCTTATTTCCCGGACTTCCCCATACCTCCCTTTTTCTGCATCCTTATTTTTCCCCTGTTGACAGCAACCCTTCATTTCATTAATTAATTCATCTTCATTATAATTCCCTTAAATTTATAATATACAGCTGCAATTCTCTATTTCTTAACACCATAGCATCTCAGCACTCCTCAATTTTACAACAATTTTTAAGATATATTTTAAATTTCTTCCAATCTTCTTCCACTGTCTCATTCCCCTGGTCACGGATTCTGCCGGTCATCTCAGCCATTCCCATGTAGTCAATCACCTTCGATTGCCATTCTTTCCAGAGTGGGTAGCTGCTGCGTCTTCCAATACTTTGCCAGAAGAATTCTTGCTGCTGTGGTAGCATACATGAAAAAAGTTCTGTCCTTCCTTGGCACCAATTGGCCCACCATGCCCAGGAGAAAAGCCTCCGGTTTTTTGAGAAATGTCCATTTAAGGACCTTTTTAATTTCATTATAGATCATTTCCCAGTAGGCTTTAATCTTCGGGCAGGTCCACCAAAGGTGATAGAAAGTACCTTCAGTCTCATTACATTTCCAACATTTATTATTGGGCAAATGATAAATTTTTGCAAGTTTGACTGGGGTCATATACCACCTATAGATCATTTTCATTATGTTTTCTCTCAAAGCATTACAAGCCGTAAATCTAACACCAATATTCCATAACCTTTCCCAGTCATCAAACATAATGTCATGGCCTATATCTTGTGCCCATTTAATCATAGCTGATTTTACTGTTTCATCTTGTGTATTCCATTTCAGCAGCAAATTATACATTCTTGACAAGTTCTTAGTATTGGGTTCTAACAATTCTGTTTCTAATTTCGACCTCTCCATCTGAAAACCTATTTTCCTGTCCTGTTTGAATACCTCGTTTATCTGAAGGTAGTGCAACCAATCTCGTACCTTAGACTTTAATTTATCATAACTCTGTAATTTGACCTTTTCACCATCTTGCTCTAAGATTTCACAATATTTTGGCCATTTGGACTCCATATTAAGTTTTTTTGTCTCTTTAGCTTCCATTGGTGATAGCCACCTGGGAGTTTTACTTTCCAGTAGATCTTTATATCTTATCCAAACATTGTATAGTGCTTTCCTGACAATATGGTTTTTAAAACCTTTGTGTATTTTTACCTTGTCATACCATATATATGCATGCCAACCAAATCTATTGTCATACCCTTCCAGATCCAAAATGTCTGTGTTCTCAAGAAGCAGCCATTGTTTCAGCCAGCAAAACGCTGCCGATTCATAATAGAGTCTCAAGTCCGGCAGGGCAAACCCCCTCTATCTTTTGCATCAGTTAAGATCTTAAAGTTTATTCTGGGCTTTTTGCCCTGCCAGATAAATTTTGATATGTCTTTTTGCCACTTCTTGAAACAGTCCATTTTGTCCAGGATCTGAAGTGTCTGGAATAAAAACAACATTCTAGGCAATACATTCATCTTGATAACAGCAATTCGGCCTAACAAGGAAAGTCTCAACCGTGACCATATTTCTAGATCCTTCTTCACCTCTGTCCAGCATTTGTCATAATTGTCTTTAAATAAATTCACATTTTTAGAAGTCAGATTCACACCCAAGTACTTCACTTTTTTTGTTATTACTAAACCTGTTTCACTCTGAAATTTCTCTTTTTCTGCCATTGTTAAATTTTTCTCCAACACTTTAGTTTTTTGCTTGTTCAGTTTAAATCCTGCTACTTGACCAAATATCTCAATTAGTTCTAATACTCTTTTAGTACTAGTATCTGGCTGTTGCAAAGTCAATACAAGGTCATCTGCAAATGCCCTTAGTTTGTAGTTTCTGGCTCTGACCTGAACTCCTTTAACCAATTGGTCCCCTCTAATCATGTTTAACAAGACCTCCAGGACTGTTATAAAAAGTAAAGGGGATATTGGGCACCCCTGTCGTGTGCCTTTTTCTATAGGTATTTCTTCCGTAACCACTTTGTTCACAATCAACTTTGCTTTTTGCTTAGAGTATATAGCACCTATACCGTTTTCAAAACCTTGGCCTACCCCCATCCCGTGGAGATTCTTCTTCATAAAGGTCCAACAAATATTATCAAAGGCTTTCTCCGCATCCACAAAAATCAAAACCGCCTTTCTATTAATATTCACTTCCAACAATTCCAAAATGTCTATAATGTTCCTCACATTGTCCGACATATGTCTCCCTGGGAGAAAGCCTGTTTGGTCCTTGTGGATCTCCCCTATCAGCACTCTTTTCAATCTTTTTGCTAAAATGTCCGCAAAGATTTTGTAATCCACATTAAGTAATGATATAGGGCGGTAGTTTTTGACCTGGTTCTTTTCAGTCTCTGTTTTCGGTATAAGTGAAATAAAAGCTTCTTTCCACGATTCAGGTGCCTTTTTCCCTTCCATAATTTCATTACAAACCTCCTTCAGTGGTTGTATTATCCATTCCTTCAATGCCTTGTAATATCTGGCCGTTAAGCCATCTGGTCCTGGAGATTTTCCCAACTGCATATTCTGAATGGCACCCTCTATTTCTTGTCCTGTTATTTTCTCATTCAAAATCATTTTACTTTGATCTGAGATCTTTAGTAGTCCATATTTCTTAATAAATTCTTCTATTTCCTGCACCTCAACTGGCCCTTGTGCATATAGTTTCCTAAAGAAACTTTGAAAGCAATTGCTTATCTCGTTTGGGATTTAGTCTAACAAACAACAAACACTAGATGTAACTAGAATTTTTTTGTGAACAAACACCCCAAAAAGGCATGTCAATATCTTCACCACACAAGTCGACAAGGATCTGTTTAAAAACAGCCTAGCTCTATGAAAAGAAAAGATGAGATGGCAAATGTGGTTTTGGTTTTCTTTCTTTTTTGATAGAATATATATGGCCAATATGAATATTCTGCCTTTCATGGTTTTGTCTGTTGCAATGGTTCAGTAAAAGTGGATACAGTGTATTGACATTTGCACAGGTAGTTAGGAATTGTTGTTTTTTAAAAATTGGATCAACATTTGGGTTTGGTTGCTTTATGGCAAAGCAAAACTAAATGTGCATATTTTGCTTTATTAATATGCAATATAATTGAAAAAGATAGGAAGAAAATGTACTTAATGACATATTATTTTCCTATCAGTTTATGAATGCAGCTTACTTTTAGGTAGCATTTTTGCATCCAATGTTTCTGTGGACATTTCTGCCAGTGAATTTATGGGTTGTGGCTCTTTTAAGTAAAATCCCAGCTGAAACTGAGGGCATAGTTATTGAAAATCTTTTAAAGATATTTACCCGCCTCTGCTTCTTAGTGACTTAGCACGCCGTGTATTCCTGAAAGGTCTGATCATTTCCCCTTGAAAGCCAACTGCAGAAAATTCTGTTTTATTGAGTAAAAGATTATGGCTTTTTGTAGGTCAGTTGCAGATCAAAATTAGATCAGCCAGAGTGACAGATGAAGAAATTACAGTACCTTTTCATACTGTAGGCCACAGTTTAAAT